TAATGTATAGGCAGACTACTTAAATTAGGCACCAAAAGTGCACATGTAGCTAGTTGTAACCTCCAATGTAAGGAAGCCTTTGGAGGCACTTGTGTCCAAATACATGAATAAAAACATCAACTCCTATAGACAGGGACTTTAACTCAAAAAAAAAAAAACTAAAGCTAGTCAACTTGCAAAACAACTACATTTTCTTTTACTTTATCCAATGATCAATGAGTGCAAATAAAGTAACAAGTAGGTTAATGATTTTATATGTTATAATAAATTTAGCAACTATTGATGTACTATTATAAAACAAAGATTATCAGAAGACTTAAAACCTAAAAGAGATAAATTTTTAAGTATTATATTATATTATCACATGTGCTACAATTATTTTCTTTCACTTATCAGTAATATAGATAAGACTCCACTAGCATTTGATATGTTTAGCAATTATACAATTGAAGAAACTAATGCTAATACTGTTGAAATTTGTATAGCTGGTTACAAAAAATCCAATTTTACAGTTGTTTTAAGTTGTTTAGCAGATGGGACCAAATTACTCTTTATAATACTTTTTAAATTAGTAAATATATTATAGCAAGTATTTCCACTAGGCATTGTTGTAAGAACCAATTTGAGTAGATATATAAATGGCAATTAAATAATTTTTTGAATTGAAAATATATAGAATTGACAAGCTCCTTTATCTGTCAATTCTTATTTACTATTAGTTTTAAATACATTTACTAGTCATCTTACAGACTTAGTTAAGAATCAATTTAATAAAAAAAATACTAACATGGCAGTTATCCTATAAGGATTTATAAAGAAGTTACAACTACTAAATATATATATTAATAAGTCTTTTAAAGACAAAGTAAATAAATATTTATTTTTTTTTTAAAAAAAAAATATATATAGTTAACTTTTTTTATAGCAAACTGATTGTTCTAAAAGAAAAAAAAATTATCAAATAATTATATAATATATCAATATTATGAGACACAATAGCTATAATAAAATGCATGCAATTACTAATTGATAGATTATATAATAAAGTTCTATGCAGATTTGATTTTGCTTTAGATGCATATTTTTTTTTTTTTTTTTTAAACTGAAATTTTTATATCTCATAAGTCAAAAATGATTTTTTTAAGAGTAGGTTAACAATATTTTTGAATTCATATAATTATTTTATAAACTTAATTCTTTAATTTATTTAAGTATCACAAATTCTATCTCAATTAGATGAGAAAAGAAATTAAGAAAATAACACATACAGGTTGTATCCAATGACCTACTTATAATTTGGTAGCAGAATAGGTATTAAAAGCATAGAACCAAGTTGATTCTGCCTTTATTAAATGTTTATTCAAGTGTTATAACATTTCTATTGCTCAAGATGAGACCAAAGAGGATTTAATATTTAATTATAATTGGGTTAATAACTCAAAGGCTTAAAACAAAAATAGTGAATATATATATAATAACACAAGTAATAGTAAAAGTGTTGTTGACTTAATCCAAAATAATAATAGCAATAATGACAATAGTGATGGCAATAATAGTGATAACTATAGTAATAAAAATAATAATAATAAAGACAATTATTATGAAAATGATAGTGGTAATAATGATGGCAGTGGTAGTCTGAATGAAAATAAAGACAAAAATAATTACCAAAATTGTAATAAAGATACATATTATAATAACAAGATGGTTGAATATGCTAATTTGTAGAATTAAAACTTTTTAGCTTATACTTTTAGAGATATAGATCTTAACTATAGAAATATTGTATCAAACTAATATATAAATAATCAAATTTGTTCTGGTACAGTTGTTAGTAATTTGTTTTATAGTAAGCAGATATAAAAAATTTTTTGAAGATTTAACAATTTATTAGTCACTACTAGAATAACTTGCCATATAATAGGCATATATAAATTCAATTTAAATAAGTATTAGAAATTGAATTTGCTAATTTTGAACATTAAAAAATGAAGTCTATTGTATAATTATAAGTATATTTTTCTAAATTATTTATTTGCATTAAACAATCAAATAAAACTCTATGCATTATAATTATAGAATACAAAGAAACTTATATAAAGAATTATTTGCAAATTTAGATAGTTCATTAAATTTTAAACTGGAAATACATTAGCATTGAGCACTGTTATTATTTAAACAAAATTTAATACTAAATAATGCAAAATTGTATTATAATAAGGGAATATTGTTATAGTGCTATAGCATTATAGTGCTATAGCATGGGTGGTGCTCATTTCGCTGACAATCACTTCAATGACAGCCTATTCCACTGACAGTCAATTCACTGACAAGTTTATTTTACTGACAGTTATTTCACTGACAGTCATTTCACCAACAAAGTAATTCTGGTCATTTTCGTTAGGGTCAGTTGGAATTAAAGTTAATGTTAGTGCAACTTTTAAAAAAACCTAGTCGGTGAAATGGACTGTTGGTGAAATAGTTGTCAGTGAAAGAAACTTGTCAGCAAATTGATTGTTGGTGAAATGGGATGTTGGCAAATTGATTGTCAATGAAATGACACATATCCCTATAGCATTATAGTGCTATAGATTATAGCATTATAACATTATAGTGTTATAGATTATAGCACTATAGCATTAGTGCTATAGCGCTATGATGCAACCTTTATCATATAAGATATAATAAAAAAGTTAGTTTAATAAATTAATTTTATCAAAATAAAAAAAAAATTATAATTTTCATTTTGCAATTTTCGTTTAAGCACTTTTGCTTAACTATTTTCATGTAACCATTTTCGTGACTATTTTCACTCGATCACTTTCGCTTGACTACTTTCACATAACCATTTTCACTTGATCACTTTCACTGATTACTTACACTTAACACTGTTATTACTTATACCTGTTATCACTTATGCTTGATACAATATCACTTGTGCTTAATATAACATTTCGACTATGCTTAATACAAGTTACTTTTGGCTTCACTTACGCTTGATACAATATATGTTTGACATCACTTGATACAACTTATATTTAATACCACTTATGTTTGTGCATCGTTTCTAATTGTGCATCCAGAAATTCTTTAAGTTGCTATTGAAGCTTCAATCAAGGTAAAAATTCCCACCTCCAAGGTATACCTTTTGGCTTTCTGGTTGTTTCAGAACTAAGGTTTATATCACTTTATTTTTTTATTATTAACAATAAATGATATAATCGTTCATAACCAAGCCGGTTTAATATTATTAACAACATAAAGCCAAGCAAATATGATGTTTCATGATTTGAATGTAATAAATAGAACTAATGTTAGTAATGATGAATTATATAACAGCTGATTTCATAATATAATGAGTTCTGAAAGTTCCTATCATGAAAAAGTTCAAGGAAATATAATATTTTCTAGATGGAATAATATGATTAATGAAGGGGATGAACTGCATAAAATTAACCAAAATGAATTTGAGTTTGGAAATCAAATTGAAGATGAAAATAACTTTATAATGAATCCAGGAGGCACTTACCATGAAGAATTTCAGGACAATGCAACTTTTCGTAAATGGGACTGCATGGATAATATATTTGATGCACTGTATAATAATAGCCAAGTTGTTGATATTAGTACCAGTAGTAATGTGCCAAATAATATGAATCAAACCGACTATAAAAAAAAAGAAATGGAGAATCTTGAAGGCCATCAGCATTATGAATTACAAGAAGGCTTGATGTTTCATAACTGGAAACATGCTATGAATGAAATCAAAAAATATGAAAAAAGAAAAGGGTTTAGAACATGCTGTTATCATATCGAAAAATTAAAAAATGAAGAAGTCTGAAGACATATGTTGGTTTGTGAACATTTTGGGCACCTTGAAGCAACAAAAAGCAAAGATCTAAGAAAAGAAACAACAACAAAATGTGTTGGATGCATATGGCAAATAAATTTGTCATGCTCAGAGAAAGATAATCCTCACAAGCTCATATATGTTGCAAAATTAATTAATGAACATAAAAATCATGACCTTGACCAAGCATGTTACAATTTTTAGAAAAATATAACATTTACAACAGAGATGACTAAAGATATTAAATTCTTTGTAACAAAAATAAATTGTAGCCCCCAGCAAATCTGTAAAGCTCTTGAAGAAAAATATTTTGTCAAGGTCTATATGCCAGTGCTGAGACAAGTAATTCAATGATTTTGTCCAAGATTACATGACCAAACTAATGATGCCAGCCAATTATATAAGGTGTTGCTAAGTAAGAAAGAAGTTGATCCTCAGTGGTATGTTGAAGTAGATTGGGATCCTAATAGTAAATGCCTTTGCCGATTATTCTATATGTCCTTTGACCAAATTAAATAGTGGTTGAAGTTTGGTAACATTGTTCTGAATGACAATACTAGCACTACTAATTATTATGAGATGGCATTGTCACTTTTTTTAGTGGTTGACAACTATTTATCTTCCAGACTTGTGGCTCAGACATTAACAGATGATGAAACAAAAGATGCATATAGCTGGATTTTGCAGCAAATCAAACACACAACAAATGGGGCTACTCTATAGGTTATTTTTACCAATGCAGACCCTGCCTTAGTCACCACAATACATGATGAATTTCCAACTACAAATGCTCTTCATTGCATATTTTACATTGCACAAAATATATCTCTAAACTTGAAAAATTATCTTAAAGACAATTATGATGAGTTCATTAGTGATTTCTTCGAGGTACAATGAAATAGCTTTATTGCAATGTTTGAATATCAGTAGAAATGCCTACTTGATAAATATAATAATAAAGGTTTGGTTAATTACTTGCAATGGCTTTATGCTAATAAGGAATCATGGGCAAAAGCATTTGTACTAAAATTATTTATGGCTGGAATGTCATCTACTTTGCAGGTTAAAAGCTATAATACAAAGATCAAGAGGTTAATATTTAATTCCAATACAACCATATTGGAACTTGCAGAAAAATTAATGATATGTGTTTTCAAAGAAGACAAAAAAACAGAATATGCTTTATTACATGTGTCAGTTCCTAAAGCAGCTTTGGTTGTGACAGCTGATAGTATTCTTCCTAATGTTTGTAAAATGCTATGCAAGTATTTAACCACAGAAATGCTTAAGATTCAGGAAGATCAAATAAAACAATCACTTCAATACCATGCTATGATAGTAGTTCAAGAAAAGTTGCAAAAATTTCTTATCGTAAGTAAATTTCTGTTTGTCATATAAGCACCATGCACCTTATCAACCAAGTGGTAACCCATGTAGTAACTTACTTTAATTAGGTAAATCTGGATAATTTTGCCTTATTTGGTAAAAATTTTACTGATATTGATATTATTGCCAAGTCAATGCTTGATCTTATTGATACAAATAAGGTTGTAGAAATGTGAGAAGTTCAACATATTATATCAAATGAAATACAGCATTTTGTAATACTCTTGAATGATAAAACACATTTATGCTCTTGTTTTGAGCATTATAACTGTGGAATTGTTTGTCATTATTTTTTTCAGGTAATGCTATATATACAAGCTGCAACATTCCATATTCAGCTTATAAGGTCAAGGTGGTATAATGAAACTAGTAGTGATCCAGCACAAGAATCATTTCTAGTTGCACAAAAATTTGGGTTAGAACAGTCAGTGACAATGGGTTGGAATGGTTCAGTTTCTTATCTTAATGCTTTAGATTAAGGCACTGTATATGAAATGCAGGACATAAATTGCCAGACAATTGATGAGTGAAAACTATATGAAGAAGCATGGAGCAAGGCTAGAGCAGCTTTAATAGTAGCTGTTCAAAGACATGATTACAACTTTATTTCTATTCTTGATAAATATCTAGACGATTGCTGATCTTCTTATAGCAATAGTAATGTTGATTCAAATAGTGCTTCAAATAGCGAAAGTGAAGATGATACTGATAAAATTGAGTTGGATCCAAAAGAGTTAATGAATCCTCATAAGCGCAAAGATAAGGGTCAGCTCAAGAGAACTAATAGAATACGATATGCTAATGAACCACCAAAAAAGGTAAAATGCAAGTTGCATTATAAGATTTGTGGTAGTACTGGTCATAATTGGATAACTTGTTCTAGAAGACAAGAGTAGTGGTTTAAGTAATATTGGCCAGTATGTATATTGCAGTTTTTAGTTCATAATGATAATGGTTTTTTGGCACTATTTAAGTTACTATTACTATTGAAATCAAAAATTTTAAAGTTATTAATCTAAAATTTCACTAATCATATATAAGAATCACAAGATCGGCTGCAAAAGTCTATTTAACTCGCATATCTATATGTAATAGTGAAACATTTATGTTAGTAACAGTAAATATAAAACATGATCGTGAATATTACATTTGATACATATTCTATACATACTAACTAAGAGTAAACCTGAATTGTAGTTATGTATTTAACGTTAAATGCAAATGTAATTTACATAATGAGTTCTAAAAACCTCAATCACTTTATAGAATAAAGATCATTTATATAACACATTGAGAATAAACTAAATCTAGTAGCAGTTTATTTTAAGTTTCAGTATGCATAGAATAGTCATATGCAAAAGATTGTTATCATTATTGAGATAGATAATTTAAGCAATTTATTTTCAATATACTCAGTTTATGTGCTATCTTGCACTTATCAGAAACATTGCTTAATTATCACATATTATAACTTATATAAAAACAATTAAGCAACTAACTGAGCTGCCCATCTCTAGTTTATGCATTATTTTCACATAAAATGATTGAGGTTTTTAAATTCTTGTATCATACTTCCATATGTAATCAAGAAAATTCAGTTTAGTTATATTCAGGTTAATATTTATAGATTTTAGTTGTAAGTAAAATGGAATTTAATAGGATTTAGAGTTTGGAATTTAGCATAAATTGATATCTAATATCAATTTTACTATCATGTGATGATCAGAAACTGAACCAAAAACTTCATTATATTAGGCTAGGATTTGGGTTGAATTAGAAAGAGCATTAATAGAGTAGAATTGCATGAGAAATTTTTTTGTTAGGGCATTTATTAGATTAAAGTTTAAGGTAAATGCTATTTGTATATTAAACTTGATCCTGAATATTAATTGGATGATAGATGTTGAAAGATCATGTAATAATAAAATTGATCTTATTTAGAGTTTGAAACTAGTTTAATCAGTTTATTATAAGAGAAATAAATTCAGTTTCAATCTCTAATTAGAATTAGGATTTGATATTGATAAATATTATAAGTTTAGTTTATAATTTATAATATATAAAAATATAATAAATTAATATAAAAATATAAATAAAAAGATAGCACTATAGTGCTATAGCATTATAATGCTATAGCATTACAAAATAAATTCCTTATAATAATCTACCTTTAATTAAAACTGTTCAGAATTAAATTTTAAAAAGCTTTAATGTCTAAAATGTACAATACTGATAGTAAGAAAATACAAATAACTTTATTATATAGCATTATATTGTATATATAGAACTATAAACATTTTCTAAATCTGTTATAATATATAGAAAACCTTTGTTAGATATTACCTTTTCTAGCAGTTTTCTAAAAATTATATATATATATATATAGAACTTATCAGTTATGATATAATGTACAGCTTTTATTATAGTATTTTAAACAAAATTTTATAATACATCCTATAAGATCAAATGTAATATAAGATTCAAACTAATAAATTTAAGATAAATAAAATTAAAATAGAGAATTAGCAAAAACTGTCTCTATCTCAAAATTTTGCAAAGAATTTTTTTTTTGTTAGAACACAAAAGGTAGTTCATAAGCAAAATTATAAGTTAAAGTGTTTTTTTTAAAATGTCTATTACTTTGATTTTATGTTACTCTTAATCTTATAATCTATAAAAATTATTTGTAAAAGTTGCACATTACACTAAAGATTTTTAAAAAAATACTTGTAAAAAAGGTTTATTATTCTACTAGTATATAGTAAAAAATTTTATTTTTATTTGTCAAACAGTATATATATTCTAAATATCATATTAGAATCTTTTAATATTTACATCCAATCTATATACCCAGGTCTTTTAATATTTATAATATATTTATAGACCTGGGTCTTTTATGCTTTACCAAATTTTTGATCTACATAATAGAGCCAGATATAATACTTAAAGAATTTACTATTAGAGAGGATCTTTTATATGGTAATTTATGATACTTGAGAGATTAACAACTTATCTACTTTACAAAGTTGTTATTTTTTAGTTAACTTCTTTTTAATTTATATATAATACAATACATTTACTTATTTAGAATATAATAACTCTTAACTAATATAAACAATTTTAATGTATTCTAAAAAAACTAATGGGGTGTGGGTCCCATAGCTTAGCGGTTAAGCTCCTATACCCTCCACAGTCAAGGTTAACGGTTCAAGTCTGGCTGGAGGCAAAGATTTTAGCTTCTGTAATCTAATAAGGAGCCTGTAATTGAATACGAAGCCCTGTGGTTAAGTCCAAGTGCAGTA